CCCCCAACTTGCACCAGGAGGTGAGCTGTGCTCCCCACCCAACCCCAGCCTAAATAAATCTCATATCTACCTGACATGGACAAGATGCAGCTTCTTTCTCCTCTTCCCCTCGAGTGCATGTCATTGGTTCCTCTTCGAAAAGGTGATGGCAGTGGCCACATTTTTCCTAGTCCGTCCTCCCTTTAGGAAAGTATATCGCAGCAGGGAGCACCCCACCCTCAGGGAACGGAAGAAAAGTTTCTTGGAAACAAAAGTCTATCTGCTGAAACAATACCTCTGTCATATCCCTGGCTCATAATCTATAGTTAGTGGAGAGCATTTGAAAGGAGAGCACCTACTAACTGATTGGAAGGGGCTCCTGAAGTTTCTGCAGTACAGATGCTGAAGCCATAGCCGCAACAAGAAATCAGGATGAAAAGCTGGATCTTGGACTTTAGAGCAAACGTCTGCTTCCTGCCTTTGAGCCCTGGAGAAGGTGGAAAAGGGGCGAGGGAGAAAAAACAGTTAACTTTCAATCTATTCTGAGCAATATTCACAAATCTTGGGTGCTTCCTGCTTAGGAATCGCCCTTTCAGTGTGGTTACTTCTTGCCAGATCACAAATGAAGAAAGCCTGGACCCATGTAAAGCAGAATCAAGTCTGGGAACGAGCCCCAAATCTTGCGTGACCAAGCTCTTCTAAAAACACTCCTTGTTGAATCCGGCGGGGACAGCTTGCAAGCAGGTGGTCCCGTCTTCCACCTCCTCCGGGAATTCTGCAGCTGCCGTGCCGAGTCAGGGGGCATACCCCTGCCGGCACTAATTCTCCTTGGCACAGTACCTCCGGCAAAGCGAACCTAGAAACCTCCCCGTCACATCCCCAGATGCGACAGGAACTGGGACCTTATTGTAGTAACAGTAAAAAAAAAAAAAGATTCCATTTTGACTGGGAATAACTGCTAAGAGAGAAAAGAGTAGTATTTTGGAAGCAAATGGAGCTAGCTTCTGAAGAAACGTTTGGAGCAAGCAAAAAGGTAAAGAAGGCTTTGTCAGGGTAACTTTTTCTGAACTACCTTTATCAGTTTTTAAATGTAGCTGTTGCATTTAAAATTCACCCCCTATCCTGTTATAGAATTAATTTCATGTCAAAGCAAGTGCCAAGTTAAATCCAGAAACTGGTGTATCCAGTGCACTGTTACATGATGCTTTGGGAGACAGCAAGGCTGGAAGTTAAAAGTTCCTCTCAGATCTTGTTTAGCAGAAGCTGAGGATTAGCAACCCAGCAATGAGAAACCGACTGCGTATGCAAAGATCAGAGCAAAACATCTCTGTTCCTCAAAAGGGATTCAGAGAAATACCTAAGGGCGTTCAGCGCTGCTTGAAGCGTGCAGGATGGGATCTGGAGGGGATGCTACAAACCCGTCTCCTGAAACTGGTCCAGACAAGAGAAATCCTCTCTGCCGAGACACAGAGAGCATCACTGCAGGCCCCCGATCACAGCCCTTACCTCCTACATGGGGCCGTGCTGGTATGGACCCAGGTTTGTTAAAAAAGTGGTTTTGAAACCCCTTTGCCCACTGGCAGCCTGCCACAATTTCTCACCACTCATCTGTACCATCAAACTGCTAATTAAGCACACAGTAATGGCAACAGGGCACCACGTAGCCGTGCAGGCTACAGCGTGGAAATCACCACTAAACGCCTGGCGGGAATAACGCCTACATCTTTCCAACTCTATAGCTGGCTAAACATTTTTCAGTCTCTGTAGCTCAAGTTGTAATCTGAGAGTCCCTGCAATCTAAACACAGTAATCTAAATTGAATCATCACATCGTAGTCAAGTATAATAGTGAGAATGTTTAAGACTTTTTGTAATCACTGGCAAGTGTTGCATGCTGAAAGGCAGAGTACTTCATAATCTAAATTGCAGGTTTTGATGCAATTTTTCAAGAAGCGCATAGTTCCAGTGCGTTGTGATACCATCTGCCTTGAATTTCTTGCCTTCAGCATGTAACGATAAAAGCACTATTTGCCTCACTACATGGAGTCCTTGTCTTTCATCTTGCGTTACACTAAGTAGTAATTAATCAGGGCTCTTCCTGTAGCCATCCAGGAGAGACAAAATCCCACACTCTCTTTATCTTGGCTTCCAAAACACAAACCCTACCAATCCAGGTGAGTGGATGTTTTGTAGCTCTGCACAAAAGGCTCCTCTGAACTCCAGGTGCTGCAATGGTGGCCGGGAGCTGAAAAGGAACATTAAGAAGAATAAACAAGTGACACATAGAAAAAAAGTGCAGAGAGATGAACAACAGAACATTTGGCTGAGATTCTAAGAAAACAGCCCCAAAAGGCTGACAAAGATAACTGAAAACCCACACCTACAAAGCAATGCTGGGGAGGAAGCTCTTTCCTCTTACTAAACTTGGCAGGGTGAGAAAACTGCCTCCTTTCTCACTCACCCCAATTTTTGGGGGGAGAGGGAAGGGATTGGACTTACCCCTCCGCTCCAAAATAATTTCCCAGGTTTGACAGACAGCTTTGAAGAATTGCATTTCTTCTCCAAATGCTCTGAGCTTTTCTCACCCCCCACCTTCCCTCTGTGCTGCTGTGGGGAGCTGCCTCTCTCTTCCTCAGCCATTAGACAGTGATCAGCCTCACGCATTCACGGGACCATGGCCCAAAGCCTCACATCAGCTCCTCTCCTAAAAGGAAATGGATGAGCTATTTCAGGCCTCAGCATAGCAGCATACATTTATATTGATAAAATAAGCGTGGCTTCAGGTCACCTCCTGTAGAGAATTATGAGGGCTGTATTACAAAAAATAAACTTAGGGGGTTAGGGAAATGCAGGCCAAAAAAAGGAGCATGAAGAGGGTACGGAGTAGCACTGCTGTAACGCAAGAGGATGATCTAGAAAGTGTTTTAACAACAGAATAGAAAAAAACTTCTTTACATTCCCTCCAAAATGCCGCTCTATGGCGCAGGCACTTCTGAAGCCGAAGGGCATCATTTTAGTGTTCAGCGCTGCTGACCAGCTACATCGGAAGAAAAAAGCACTCTGCTCTCTTCCGCCTCTCTGCTGCCTTCGACACACTAACACCACTAGCAGGGAACACTCATTTACTTAAATTCAGAGTAACTGAAGGTCAGGATACTGTTAATAGCCCACAGCAAAGTCAAAAGCATAGCAGGAGGAAAAAATCCACAGCTGATGAGAATGTAGGAGTCCAGTGTTTCTCTTATTGTTCATTCAAAACTATGCTAAATCCAATCCAGAGATCACCATTACCTTCATATATTCACAGTACGTTTACCATTGCAGTTGATAAAAAGACCACAGACTGACAAATATATCATAATTATGGACACAAACAAAGGTGTAGCAGAAGTAGGCTTTATGAAAGTATTTAAACTTTGTGGCAAATTTCTGCATCAACATGGGCAGGGAGGCAACTAAATGCTCCGCAGCAGCAATTTCAGTTACCAAACTATTTCTTGGATAGACATTTATTACAGGTAGTTTGTCTGCTCCTATTTCTCAAAGAGTTTAAGGCACAAAAGCCTGAAAAGGGCTTATAACATGTACATAAGTGCTATTAATTTGCTGTCACTTTTAATGCAACATAATATTAGCTTAAATATATTGCTTGTCCATCCAGCTTATACAACGTCCAGTAGAAAACTGCTTTCCAGATTAGCAACAATTTGTTGCACAATATATCGATTAGATTGCTCTGACCCGTTTTTGCTGCAAGATCTTCATTTTTACCATATTCACTCTGACAGGACAGTGGAAGACGCTGTGAAATCTTAATATCTTAACGAGACCATCAAGAATTGTCCACAACGAAAAAAGTGAGATACACAGAATCATATCTAAACAAGGTTACCGGTAAAACTGTTTTAAACTGCTTAACTGAAGAATTATTTCCTCACACACAGATGCAGAGGCAAGCCAAACTGTGCTAGAGACCACCCCGTAGAAGGCATTGGTCTGTCATCGTTTTATAATACTCCCTTCTGTCTGCAAGATGCTTTTCAGGTAGCTTGCTTAAGAACACCAAGCTGTAAACTCGCTAGCTCAAGATCACAGCTTAGGTAAAGCAAACAGAAGCTTTTACCTATGTACTTCTTTCCCATGCTCAAGTTCCAGCAACCTTATTCAGTCACTAGAAAGCTTTTGAGACATTTTAGTGGTATCTGACATTGACTTTAAAAAAACATGTTTAGGAGAGCTGGATCAAATGACTGAAGAGTTACATGGGCAGCAAAACAGAGAGATGGGCAGGAACCAAAATGCAAAGGGTAATTTTACTTAAAAGACCAACTTTTTTATTGTACGTTGGAGTAGAGTCTTTCCCCTGTGCCATCTTGTTGAAAGTTTATAAATTACAATTCCCAAGAAGTATTAAGAGTTCATTTCAAGACAAAAGGAATAAAACTGTTGCAGTTCTAACTTTCATCACGAATAAAAGTTACCATGATGCTCCTACGATACTCATTTCGTACAGGAAACGCCACAGTCCTCCTGTACTTCGAGTAACAGACCCGGGTGGGAAAATGGCCACCCCTCACTACTGCAGGATCCAGGTGCAGCATAACAGTCCGGAGCGCGCTGGCGGGCTTGTCACACCGAGATAGTGCCTCAGCAACGAGGCTATAACACGGCTGGAATCTCTGACGAGACAGTGTCCAAAGGCTGCCAGTGACAGTCCATCAAGGCATCGTAGAGCTCTTCACTCTGTTCCATAAACTGTTTATTTGCTTCATGGACGTCCAACTGAGGCGTCGGATCTAGAGGAGGAAAGAAGATAGACAAATGGGTCGCGTGCCAAATATGTTTAAGAAAAACCCAAACCCAATAAATGAGTTAGTTTTATTAAGACAAAAGTGTGTGTGGGGGGGGTGTGCCACAAAGCATTCCCATCACTTGCCCGGTTGTGGATCTGACTAGATTAGCCCTAGTAAATCTTTCTGCAATGGGGTAAGAAATAACTAACTCCAGATACGTCCCTCTTTTCAGTGATTGCCCCCATAGCAGAGTCAACAGATAGAACGCATACCTGCACCTCGCAGTCCAGTGTAGCCACTTAAACTGCCAAAGAAGGTGGGTTGGCACTAAGACACCGGACTGCAAAGTGGAGCAGTGGAGGCGCAGGCACACGTTCCCTTCTGCTCACTCCACTACAGGGTCAGAGTGGATGGCTGGGGATGGTAGCGTCTTAAACTGCTGCAACAAGAGTCACCAGAGCTCGTCCGCCAAAGCCTCGAACATCTCAAAGCATTTCACAGTTAGTAACCAAAGTGGTGCCAGTGACACCCAGAGAATTAAGTATGAATATGTGCCTTATTTTACGACTGGAAGAAATCTTTGTCAAGAATTTTGGGACTGGATAGTAACACATCGCATATATAATTCTGCTACTACCAATGCATACTTAACATTTAGCAAAAAAAACCTTCATCTGCTTCACCAAACCACTTGTAGGATTTAAAGCTCCCCTAACAACACCCATAATTGAAAGATTAGGTTATCAGACTAGCACCATCACTTAGGTTAGTAAGTGACTATATGAGTGAAAAGCAACTAGCCTACTAAATGGAAAAACTGCAAAACACATCAGGAATAAAATCCTTGTAATCACATTCAGTTTTAGCTATATCGTGTTTTAACGTATCTAAATTTAATCGTATCTAAAACACCGGCATGGTTTACTAGCCCATTTCAACCAATGACTGCTAATGCAAATACCGTATCAGTGTGCAACCTGATGCTATTTCTTTTTTAAAACCAAAAGCACAGTGGAGTACCCTGTACTCTAAATCCCAAGATCTTACAGAAGAACAGAATGGTTGCATTATTTTTGTAGCAGAAAAGAAAAAAATACTGGAGAAAGAACAATAGTTTGAGTACTCCACAAGATTAAAATCTGTATTTTCAGGGCTAAGGAGATATGAACACAAGTCCACAAATCCTTTCGATGCTAGTGAAGCCAGGTAGCTTCAGACTTAGCAAGGTTCAGACTAGCAACAGCAAGTGTAAAATTGGGATGCGATTAGGTGATACTGACCTGCAAATTTCCTCAGGCCCCAGATTTACTCCAAGATAAAGGTACGCTATACATTGAAGTTAAGGGCCAATTTGAGAAAGGCTCTCTAATCAGTGCAAAGGAAATGACAACTCCAATAAAGAATTTGAGAAACATACCTTCCAATGCATCCTCACCAACTTCTTCATATGTCTGCAAAGACAAAAATAACCCCTCAGGACTACAGACACTTATCTTTTTCTAAGAACATCACCTGCTGACTACTACTGTCATACGCTGACTTCTTTATCTGGCTGATTACAACAGAATCCTTCACACACAAGCCTGGGCAGTCACTCCCAGCAGACTCCAAGGGGGAGATCCCACACGAAGCTTCTAACAGAGGCAGCGGTTCTTGAAATTCCTGCGGTGCAGTGGGTGGCTGTCTTGTTCTGACTTATCCTATAAAACAAGGCTTATGAAGGATCCTAAAGGCAGCATCCTTATTGCTGGCCATCCAACTGCCCGCGTCAAGAGAATCCTTCTACCCTGACAGCTGTGTTTAGAGGTCCCTTATGCCCCATAGCCTTTTTTACCCACCCAGTCCCTGCAATATCCCACAGACAAGGCAACAATACAAGCCAGCAAGCCAGGGGCTGCTAAATAATTTTGCTTCCCCAGTAGGTGGCAATATTAAGACCCCAGAGCTTGAAGATAAGATATGCCCACCACCATGTTCTGTGGTTTTGTGCCAACAGGTCACTGAAGTGCAAGTATTCAGCGCTGTCCTACCTGCATTGTGCTCTGCGTGTATCCATACTGCGGATAGCTGTAGCTGTAACTGCCTGTGTTCTGGTCATAGCCCCACTGGGCATAGTAGTTGTGATATTGTTGGTAATATTGGTTATAATTATAGTTGTACATCTGATTGTACTCCATTGGTTTCACACGATTACTTAAAAAAATAAAACAGGAGTAAGTTACACATAACGCAGAGCGATTAAGAAAAGCAGCAAAACGAAATAGCTTAAGCTACTATATGGTACATAGACAAGGCTTACTCCAACATGCAAATTTCAGTCTTCAAAATATATTCACTATTTATTGCTGCTGTTTTTAACATTTGCATAACTTGCAGAAAGAAAGAGGTGGTTTAATTTTAAACCCTTTTCCTGTATTCCTCTTCCTCTTCATTAATTAACATTTCTTTCACTCTTTAGGAGCAATTTAGGATCATTTCCTGGCTCTGGGGAGGGAAGAGTTTGGGACTATGAGCCTCAGTTTAGAAAATCCTGGTCCCATGATCCAGATTCTAGGGCCCTTTTTTCCTTCTGATAATTACGATGAAGTACTCTGCAGCCTCCTGAGACAAGGTACTGAGTTTTGCTTTACGTGAAGAGTTAAGGACTTAGAGCCTTGCAAAAGAACGGGGGTTTCCTTTGCTAATAATGGACAAAAGCTCCTCCCTTTTGTCACTGCCATACAGCAGCCTGTGCAACAAGTAGTCGCCCCCATTCTAACAGAACTGGGTGATCTTCAGTGCCCATAGTTTAGAGAACTCCTGAGGTGAAAAGGACTACAGTAATTTAAAAAAGGATTTTAAATAGTCTGTGAGCTAGCAAAATTCTCATTCGTTGACATAACGCGGCAGCGTTCCCAAAGAATTAGGAATCCCACCTAATTATCAAGACTTGAAATAATGAGGTGACAAATATTGCTTGAAAATGAAAATATTCCACACACAAAACTACACCTAATGATGAAATTAAGGAGAAGTAGGAAGAGGGAAATAGCACTCTTCTCACCACAGTACATCCCCTCTTCCTGCTTTTCTCTTCCTTAATCCCCCCACCAACCACTTCTGAGGTCACTGAAAATCTAAATATTATTCAAATAGGGAGTAATTTCTATTATTCGTATTACCCTAGTGCTACGAGCCCCAAGTCAGACCAGGATCTCATTGTATCAGGTTCTGAACAAACACAGAAAAAAAAGTTAATCCCTGCCCCAAAAGATTTATATTTACTAGACATTGTAATAGAATTAGCAAGGTAATTGAGGTTGCTATCCAGAAGTCAATAGCAGATGTAGACAATTCCAATTTAATGCAAAGGAACATATACTTCAAAAATAGTCATATTTAAATACAGTGTGTGTACAAGTGAGTGCATTTACTAATGTACATAATTAAAACAGACAGTGTAAAATGATCTTGATCTAACGTTATAATTTGATTTTTTTTCCGCATTCTGAAACCGTGGCTATTTTATTATATTCATGGGTGTTCCCTCACTTTGTGAGGGGAACGTCCAGAATATGCACCCAAACCACAAAGAGATACTTAAAAATACATGTGATTTCACTCTTAAACACCTGGCTGCTCTTATACTCACGCTTTTGGTATAGCCACACTCAAGCGTACAGGTTTAGAGCCCAACCCCACAGCTCCCTGACACTCTGTCAGCGCTCTTTTCTGTTCCAGTTCATCCGTGAATTTCACGAACCCGTAACCTCTGCAGAGATTCAGAATAATTTGTATCAAACAAACAAAAAAGCCATGCTACTTTTTTCAAATACTTACAGTGAAATCTAAATTAGTTTTGAAAATACTCTACCGCAAACGAAACACTTTCACTAGGACTGTCCAAGCTTTCACCAGAGAGTAAACGATTGCCTGGTCGAGTAACTTCATTATTTGAAAAATGCTTGAACTTGTACATCTAAACCTCAGTAGTACTTTCAAAGGCTTCAGAAATGTGAAGCAGATCCTGTGCCAGTGGAATCTGGGGAACTCTTAAGTGAGCTGACACAAGACGTGTCGAAATAATATGCACGAACAGACAGTTAGGAAAGCCTCAAATCTGTACCGGGAGGATACAGATAATCTACATAATTGCAAGTCAGCACAGGATCGAAAAGACATAGGTCATCACTTATCCCTAAAACTGTCCCACTGTGAAGAGAACCACTGCTTTTCTGCAGGACCAGCTGAGATAAAGCTTCCAGTCAAATCCTTTTCTCAACAGGAAAACATTAAAATAGGCTTTCTGTCATTCCTAACAATTGTACAGCCTCATCAGCATTCCCAGCAGTGGATCTGAAAATGAGTTCTTAATGTCAAGTTGCTAAAACTTGCTCTGATAGCACCACTTGAACACTGGTAGCAGGCTGGCAGCAACCCCTACGCTCTTTAGCAATCCTTCAGAGCAGTGCTAACAGTAGTGGATGTTAGCCAGACAGAAAATGTTGGTCCTCCCCATCCCCAAAAGTCCTTTGCGTGGGATTTTGATGCTGTAGTGAGTCAGAGGCAACGCAACAGCATCCAAGAGGGCAGTGCCAGGATCCCGAGATGGGATGGGCTGTCTCACACAGCAGAAAGATCAAAGGCTTAGGTGTGGGAGGGAAAGAGGAATGCATGTATTTTTGGAAGTGAGGGAGCCGTAAGCGAGGGAGTACATTTACAGCATATTATCTATTCTGTGGGAACTCTTAAATGCAAAGACACTATTTTGAAAATGGAATCGCCTAGTACTCAAGAGTTGGTCCACATTGGTAATTAACACAGAGTAGTTGGTGCTCTGCAAAATACAACATGTTGCATAGCAAGCTACACATTCAGGTCTACGTTTTTATACACAGGTACACACATATATAGACATACATATTCCACGTATATACAAGCCCAAATCAAAGCTCAGGCTTGTCTATAGACAAACTGGAGCAACTAAGCAAGAGCAAAACTCTACATGGGTAGATTCTGTTGAAAATTGGTTATCTCAGTTTAACTTGCCTCTGCAAAAGGACAAGGACATATTAAAGTAGTGCAAGTCAACTTTTAAATCAGTTTTAGCTGTTTGCATGCAAAATTAAGTAAGTTTCTAAGCCTGGAGGCAGGCACAGTACTACAGCATCAGGCCTCAAGCTCCTTTCTTGTCTGGCCAGGAGGTACTGGGTGGAGGCCTTCCTGAGCCACCACCTGTCCCTTCCAGCCAGGGCTTCACTAGACACATCTACAAACCCCAGGCTCCTCTCTCACAACACACTGACACCTGCAGTTGCCTCTGCTTTGAGTAAGTGCACTAGTCACAGCAAAATCCCTGGGAGCAACACCTTGGCACCGCTAGAGAAGACAGTTGTGCCCATCCCAGCAACAAGACTTTAAGTCTCTGTCCCCTCCCCACTTCCTGAGCCCTCACAGATTCCTTTTTCCTTAGGCCTGCATTCAGGAACTATACCCAAAGCTCAAGTAATGGCCCAACCTGCATCACTCAGCACCCATTCTGTGGGCACGCACTGAAGCAGGTATAGCAAAACAGGCACTGCTGGGTTTAAGCCTGAGCAGAGAGGGCAACGAGGAGGATTAAGCACCCGAACCCACATGGGCAGTGCTGGCCTCAGGCACAGTGGCAGTAGCAGCATCAGCCGTTAACAGACAGAGAGTAACTGAGCAGCTCTGCAACAGGTTCAGGTTGGGCGTTAGGAGAACCTTCATCACCAGGGAGGTAGTACAGCAGTAGAACAGGCTGCCCAGACAAGTTGTATAATCTCCATCCTAGGAGGTTTTCCAGACCACACCATCCAGGGCTGACCTGATCCAGCGCGAGCAGTAGCACTGCTGGGAGTGGGAAGCTGGACAAGAGAACTCCAGTGGCTCCTTCAAACCAACAGGTCTAAGACCGAGAAACCCTTATGTGATAAAGAGGAGAGATCTGTAGCTATATTTTAAGTCTTAGCACAACACAGGCATTAAGTCAGAATACTGTGTTTCATTGAAAGCATATTTTGTTTTGAAAATAAGGATACTGACCAACTGGTTCCTCTCCTGAGAAAAGGCAGTTTCATTTTCTGCTATTTAGAAAATGTTTTAACATCATCGAGAAAACTGGCTTTTTGATATCTGTTTTCGGCGAGACATTTCCACTGAAGATGAAGAAGGCAGCTGCTAAATACTTGACAAAGATTCATAGCTTTGTTTGCCCTACCCTGTTTGAAACAAAAATCCATAAAACTTCCACAAGAGTGTATACTCAATAGCCTAAAGACTGTAAAAGCATAATTTTACCTCTAAGTTCAGGGAGCCGGAGTTCCTAAATTACTTAGACGCTTTTCACAATTTTCACAAGTCCTATAACATACTGCCAACCCACAAAGATCATAATACTGTCAGAGAAGTGACAATATGCTACGGTGAATACTGAAACCTAAATACACTGTAGACTGAATATCCAAGAACACTGTATTTAGTAGCCACGGGTTCCACGAAAATGTAAGCTGGTATGACTACTCTTTTTCCCTCGCTGCACTACATCTCCCTTTGAAAGGGATAAAATCTCAAAATTTGAACAGAGGCTTTATTCTTCCTAAAGCAATGTTGCTGCATGTGGAATGAAAGAAAGGAATGCATAAAGGTTGACTTACTTGGATACTCCTGCCTGGTCCAAAACAACTTTTCCACCTCTACATGATGGATAAACTTTAACAAAAAATTCATATAACATGCCATCATCCACATCAGGAGTCAGGTCTCCCACAAAAAGTGAATATTCTGGACTAAAGAAATCAAAAGAAAACTTCTTAAGCATAGTCACAGAAAAAAGTGCGCTGAGTGACAGCTAACATTTACCCCAAACATTTGACTCAGATAGCAGTGATATTAAAGGACCGTGCAATGGATACTTCAAAGTGCCTCTAATTAAATTGCTTAGGTGACTAAAACGAAGGTAATTTTTGTTTTTGTCATTGCTTTTTCTAATTAGTTCAGGTAGTCATACCAATCTGCTCGATACTCCTTTTTATTTAAAGATAATTCAGTTTTTTAGTTCTCAAAGAATACTGAACATGGCACTGTATCTGGATTTTTAATGTGGTAAGACGGCATAAACATCTCTAATTAAGTTAGTTTAATTGAATTTTTATAACATTTCTCTTATGTAAAGTTTAATAGGATCGTTTTTAAAATAAATGTGAACCTTAAATACTTTGCCAGTATCTCTATATGTGGAATGCTCTGAATTTACAAGGAAGCAATGTCTGCTGTCTGATATCTCATTTACAGACTTGGTATCTTCAACAGAGTTATCTTAAATGATAATGTATGAATTAGATACTCTGATGCTAGAAATTTTAAATATCTTAAAACACATTCCTGCCTCAGATTTGCTGTGCCACACAAAAGGCAAAGCATAAAACTGACAGAAGGTCTCAGCTCTCCTCCCAGCTCCACTAAAGAGTCCCAGAGCGATTCATTGGAATCAGAAAGGTTACGTTATCAATCTGTAGCATATGACCACATTTCCAGGGCACAGGGAATTGAAAGAATTAGTTACCAGGAAAAAAAAAAAATCATTTTTGGCTTGCCCGTCATACCTTGACTCTTACCTAAAAAGCTTTTTTTTAGAAAAAGGTTTATAAATAATCACCTAAAATAAAAGTATAATTGCTGAGATATGACTAACACTGCCCTAATAAATTGCAAGACTTTGTTGCTTTCACCCTTGCACACACCTCCCTGAACACCTCCTTGTGTTATTATTACTTCAACTGTGTAAGCGTTTTTGGGCAGGCGTTATGAAAGCTATTCACACCACCCAACTTCAGGCGCCTAATTTAGCCAGCTTGTCTCCTTACGCACCTTTTACTGTCAATGGAGAAAAACGGGCTTCTCCAGAGGGCAATTCAGAGCACCTCTCTCTTTGCTGACTGTTGTGGTACTCTTGCCAGTTAAGCTAGGTGGTGTGAAACCACTGCGACTATCTTCAGGCGCTAAACACTTACATGGCATAATATAGTATTATGATGGGATGCACCCCCACATATGTAGCAAGTGCTAAAAACATCTACAGCAACACAAGTATTTACAGTGTGTTCCAAGACAGTTTAGCATAATCTACATTCTTAATTATGAGATTATCTGGTATTGCTAGACAAAACAGTACAAATTTTAGTTGCATGCATCTCATGAAAGCTCTCCTATCCAAACTTGCTAGCTGTAGATCTCATCCAGCCATGACGCACTTGTGGATTTGCACATTTTGAATACTCTCTGCAAGGAAGGTGATAAACAGACATCGAACAGGCAAAACTAATATTTGAATGTTAAGTGTTTACCTGTTATCAGGCTGTTTTCCATACGTTGCATAATTCAATTTAAATCGCTTTGCCTGAAACAAGGCAAAAATGAATCCATATATTCAAACAGTCTCATGTGAATCCAAGCAATTAGGAAAAAAAATATAATAAGCTTATTTTACACCATTTTCTTAATACCGACAGATGTTCAGTGCCGTCAGGCCAGCCAGTAAAGGCATCAAGGACATTTTTATCTGACTTCAGTACAGCTACAACAATGGAAACCTGCTCATTTTTTTACAAGCTTCCCAGGAGCCTAGACAGCTCACATCTAAGTCTGATCAGGGTCTAAGTAACAGCTCATCTTCTACCTCAAAATCCTGAGGTTCTCAATCCCATTGGCATTCTCATATGATGCCTAACACACAAAGACCCCAGTAGGCTCACTGCAAAGTGCTGTTTTCTTCTGAAATTTGTCTGACAGAGGAAGAAGAAAATGGTTGCTCCCTTTTACGAGAATACTGGTTTCAGCATTTACCTAGTCAGTGGAAGACCTAAACTGGATTCCCACCCAAGTACTCCAAATCCACATTTTTCTATCTCCCTACAGACTGTCCAAAGCAAACCTCCCTCTGTATTATGCAGTGACATAGTGTCAAAGAATTCAAGAGAAATTAGTCCAAAGAAAGTAAGCCCATCGTGAGTCCATAAAACAGAGATCAGGACATTTCCTCAGTACAGTCGAGAGCCTAGTCTGCTCATGTACTTTGTAGGATGTATGTTCTTCCCTCAGTGACAGCATAAATAACTCTTAGGAAACAGAGCAAAGCCTTAACTCTAGTCTACAACCATGATCCTTGCATGCTTGCACTCATTGCTTCACGGTGGCATATATGGTCCATTTACAAGCTTAGTTTCCTAACACAAGATTCTGGATTCCACTTTGAAGCACGCACGTCTTTTATTGGATCTGTTTTTTCACTGCAATATTTTTAATTTAAAATCAGTGAGAGAACAGTATTTCTACTCATATGATTGTTGGGACACTAATTCTGTAAAACAGAGACAGTAACATCACCACGGCTCTGTTCCTCCCCTTGCTGATTCAGTATTTAAAAATAAATAAAAGAGTGAGCCATATTCAGTTTTCTGCAAACAAGAGAAAAAGTACCTAAATGCAAGGGATGACCTGGACAACTGTCCACTGAATGCACTAACTTAGGCTGGCTTACACTGGATCTCTTTCTGACATCTGTAACTCTCTCCATGTATTATGTAAACCAGCCCTCTACACAACATCGCATTTTGAATTAAACTGTGGATAAAGGCAAGTATTCCCAAAAACTAACTTTAATGAATATATTACTCCTGAAGGAGCTGCTCTCTCTCTCGAGTGACTATAGAAGGCATCTGGAAAGAACAGCTTTCCTTAATTACGGCCTCTGACTTGCAGTATAAAGGCATATTAAATGGGACAGGTAAAGCAAATACCTCCAGGCCTTTTATCTGCCTCTTTCAATGGCGGATGCCACCCTCTCGGGAAGGCTGATTGTACAATTCATGGAACAACACCTGAACCTCCCAGTTTCCAACTCAGGGTATTAAGTACACTGAAGCAGGGCTCAGATTACTTTACTATATCACACTGTAACTGAGGTGCTTTATGAGCCATTCAGTCATCCTAGCCACTGCAGCCAAGTTTTGTGGGTACAATGGACAGCTGTGTCAGCTGTCCCATTTTAATCTGCTACACATTCAAATCAAAACCCTAAAATTAGCCTCTATGACTATTCCTCCTCCTCTTCCCAGGTACCTAGCTCTTAGGTATCTGAGAACATTTATCATGTATTGCAATTACACAATGGGCTAGGTCTATTTCCACAGTAAATGGGCTTGAATAACTTTTGTTTGCTCAGGGCCAAGAATAATTCAGGGCTTTAAAGTCATATTTCTCCTGCAAATCAAAGTTACTCAAATCCCAGTAGGAACTTACTTCAGGTTCATCTGCGTCTATATCACAACATACACACTGTAATCAATTAACATGGAGCTAGCAATGAAGAGGGACAGAAGGACTGCGATAGATATATTCAACCTCTTTTTTCCTCGTTTTTGTCTCACTTCTCATCAGTCCAACTTCGGGAACAGCAGAAAGGTTCAGAAATACAAAAACACACCACATTATTTCTATACCTGGATTTTATCTGTACGTTCACCTAGAAAATAATACTTTTTAACAATTAACAATTTTCTGAGGAAGGCCATTAGCAGTTTTATGTTCATTAATTTAACTCTAAGGAAAACAAGAATTCCAGTTTGCTAACTATTCAGCTTGTTTTTAGTCATTACTCAAAATATGGATTCTGCTGTATCTATCCCTTCCCAATTTGGTTTCTTTACCAGCTGATCTGATTTACTTACCGGTGTAGCACCAGGAAGCGGTTTTCCATTGATTTTGTGTAAACATTTTTCTGCAGTAGCTAGATCTGCAAATTCTACAAAGCAATAGCCTGCTGGGATTCTGAACACAGAGATACGGGAGAAGAGAGAAAGATTTCAGATTTAAAACACATTTGAGGAGGAATATTATATTTTTAAATAAACGGCAGGAAATTTGCTATAGTGGCAACATTTAGAACAAATTCCTTGTCAAAGTATGAACATCAGCTTCCAGAAAGAAACTAGCAAAGTAATCTTTGATCTCCAATGAAGCAATAACCCTACTTACCAATAAGTCATGGCAACATACGAACACAGAAAATACTTCTGCTCACAAGTGTTTTACTTCTCCATTTCATTAAACATAAATTTCCCCATCCAAGTTTAAACAGTTGAAAGCTGCAACTACAACACTTACAAGAACAGGACACTATTTTATGCTGCATATAGTCACTCACTTTATTCCAAATGAACTCAAAAAGATCTTCATAAGGTTCTTGCTAAGTTAGACATCCCACCTCTGCCAATTTCGTGTAGCTGCACAATATAACAATTAGCATAGACTGGTCATTGGAGCCTTCACTCCAGAACGTGTAATCCCCAGGTGGATTGTATGTCATAGGCATGCCATTCTTTGAATGAGTACTGAAGCACTGCAGGATGAGGGCCAAACCTCGGTTAGGTGATGGAGAGGTTGAAGAGCCAGCAACTGTCCTTTCCATTGCTATCATCAATATACCTATATTGTTGGCAGCAATGATGAAAAGCTCAAAGGGAAAATCATTCTGATATAGACAGGACCACAAAGATGCCATGTAGCAGGCAACAGGTTCAATCCAAATGCAAGGACACACTCGTAGAATGAACTGATAACAAACATAAACAGTTACCCTGTCAACCTGTTTCGAATGATTTTTACACTCAGTACAAGCTCTCCCATGGTAGCAAAGGCTCTCGAAACAAAGCTTTCATCCATATATGGCTCCAGCTACAAAAGCAAAAAAAAAAGTTAGACTTGGGAGTCTACAAAAAGGAGAATATATGTGTCAATGTCACCCTAAGCAGTTAAAACATTATTGAGAAGTATTTTACCCTTACACTTCAAAAAGAAGACTCATTTAAGAGGGTCGATGCCACTCAAAACCAGCAGGCATGCATGAACCAGGCTCAACAGTCTGCAAAGTGGAACCCAAGAGACAGCATGAATTTCAGAGAACAGGGAGCTTTCACAGAAGGACAAAAGCCACTCAGAGACATACTGCAACAAACTGAGCGTCACTACACCGAGCAGGGGATGAGGAGATGGCAAGCTCCTTCTCTGTACGCAAACAGAGGTTGGGCCAGCACTATCAATACAAAGGTGCGGCACAGCCCAGGGTGCCATGACGAATGGGCGGCATGCGTCAGGTAACACAGCCTCCATCCAGCTGGGGTGGGGGTTTGCAGAGCCATGTCAGCCTCACGTAACCAGGGAGCTATATGGGGCAGCACTTAAAGGGGAGACCTGTAACCCACATCCCACAGTCAGTCAGCGCTTTGTATCGCACATGTGCATTGAGTGTGTTGGGCTGCATGGGTGAGAGGGTGACACTGTGCGTGTAAGAGTGTGCACGAAGCGCAGGACAGTAGCGCTGTACGAGTGCAGGTACTGGAGAGGAGGTGACTGTATGGTACATGGGACTGAAAAGTAGGACTGTGCATGGCCCAAGCTCATACTGGCACCATGAACAAGGGGTATGGAACAGGTGAAGAGGTGTGGGGGGAACAGAAATAGCTCCATGTAAGTATATATACCTGTGTGACAGGCAGTGGGCCTTGTCACAACGGATAGTCCTCAAATGTGTTTCTGTGTCTGTCAGGTACTAGGTAGTTCTTTCACATGTGTGTAAGAGTGTGTAGACTGGCAGTGTGCGTGTATATTTGATCATGGGTGACCTTATTGCACATACATGTGCAAAAGGTGCCAGGCGCCCTGTAGAAGTGTGAGTGTAAAACAGAAATGATCCTGTCTTTGGTGCACATACAAGAAGCAACAGGCAGCCCTACTCTGTACAGACATGTCAGGCAGAGGGTGACCCTCTGAGGCAGAGGGTGAGCCTGTGGTATGTGTGTGCACACGAAAGACAGACACATAGAGGCAACAGGTGACTATTGCCTGGATGTGTACATGTGTATTTCAAACAGCAGTGGGTAGCTTGTGAGAGAGGGAAAGGGAGGTAACTGTGCTGTTCTGGTGAGTATTTGTTTGAAAAGGAAGATGACCTTACGGTGGAGAGATGGGAGATAACCCTTTGTTCAGGTAAGAGAGACAGTGCATAGCGACTCTAGCATGTGTTTGCATGAGTGGCAGGCAGTGGAAGACCCTCTGAAGGGCCAGCGTATGCGTGCAACGCAATGGGAGACTTGGAATGGATATGGGACAGAGGAAGACGGCAAGGGTCCTCGATAACATGCTGGTCTGTGTGTGTACACACACAAAAGAGAGGTTGTGACGGACTACGGCATTCAAGTGTGCGCAAGGGGCAAGCGGCGGGGGACTCCATGATACGCTGGTCGGGGTCTGTAAGAAACAGGCCGGGGGGATGCTATGGGCTGATGCGAGTATGGGCTTAACCGCATATGCGAGTATGTGCATGCAGGCGTATATAGGCATGTGGCAGGCAGCAAGGACACTGTGATACGTGGTGTGATTGCATATGTGGCTGCGTACAAGTAGCAGACAGCGGAGACGCTACAATATACTGATGTGAGCACCCATACAGGTGTGTGTGTGCGGGTGGCAGATAGCAGAACACTGATACACTGAGGGCGAGTATGCGCGTGTGAGCGCGTACGCGAGGATGTGTGTACGCCGGCAAGCAGTGAGGGACACTGAGGCAGAGAAGCATGAGTGTGTACGCAGCCCGTGGGAAGGAAAGACAGCGAGAGAGGCTCAGGGGAGCGCATCGCTGTGCGAGCGTCGCCGGGAGGGTATGTGAGCAGGCAGCGAGAGAGGCACGAGAGTGAATAAGCCTCGGCGAACGTGGCTGTGGTCCCAGGGGCCAGTGCAGGCAGCAGTGAGGGAAACTCTGGGGCGACTTAGTGCCTCTGTGGGCATGTATGAGAGTGTAAAATGCTACAAGTGTGAGCGTGCGCGTGTGTGTGAGGCAGGCAGCGAGGCATGCTCTTGGGCAGGGGCCTAGGAGCGTGAGCACAAGGGCGAGTGTACAAGTGCCTTTAACTGTGAGCTTAAGCTTTTAAGTGCATAAACACCTACGGCATGTGAGTGTGTAGACGAGCCCCCACGGGTATGTGTGTACGTACACCCCTGCAAGGCTGTGAGCACATAAGCCGCTGAGCATGCCAGTGCCTGCGAGTTTGAGAGCGTCTGAGCGAGCGTGCAAGCGCCCAGAGGGCAGGAACACGAGTGTGCAAGCGCCCACGCGTGCCGGGGACCACCAGGGTGGGCAGGCAGCGCGGGGCACTCCGAGGCGGGTAAGCGCGTCTGGCGGGGAGCGGCCCCGA